GTGATGAGAAAAGTACAAAACTACGATATTATTATTGCATTAAAGGTTTCTTATAAACAAAATCAGTGAACTATGATCGGATTAATAATTTTCTAAAAGGAGGTTGAGGTTATTCTATTTTTCATATTACTACAAATAATATTATGATTATTGGTTTAAAACTCCCCCCAAATACATGATCAATCTACTTAGCACTCACCGTACCTTATTATTTCTTATTAATTTTATATAATTATATACAATATAGTCTTCCACCAAACATTTGATCGAGTTTATAATTGGACTATAATTTCTCTCATCCTATCTGATCCACATTTATTCTTATCATTAATCTAATAATTTCATTTAACTTATAGACTGATTCAAGTTAACATTATATATTAGTCAATACAACATTGTTCTGGCTATATATAAATTCATAAAGGGAACTAATTGCATGGAATTTTATTTTATTCAGCAATCCTGTATTCGTTTATAGTGAATTTAAACGATGTATTTTATCTTAAACTTGGTTACTTTTTGAGATCATATATTTAAATATATAATTGCATAACCTGAAGAGAATTAATTGAAAAGAATACTCTTCGTTGATATATTAGTGTTTTATTATGATAGAGATTTCTAAATAAGTACAAATAATTATAATGGCCGTACTCTTAAAGTTGAAAAACATATGGAACTCAAAACAGCCGTCAGCCAACACCAACGTCAGAATCTTCAATACGAACATCAAGACAGTTCTACTGTATGTAGCTGAAACTTGGAGGGCTACTATAACCATTATCAAAAAGGCACAAGTATTTATGAACAATTTTCCACGCAAGATACTAAATGTCCGTTGACTGGATACCATCAGCAATAGCCTACTATGGAAGAGGAAAAACTAATTTCCTGGTGAAGAGGAAATTATGAAAAAACGTTGGAAGTGGACAAGATGTACATTACGGAAATCTGCAAACTACATCCTAAGGCAATCGCCAATTCGGAATCCTGAAGGGAAACGGAATAAAGGATGGCCGAGAAACACACTACGTCGAGAATTGGAAACAAATATGAAAAGGATGAATTACAACTGGAAAAAACTGGAAAGGATTGCCCAGAACAGGGTTGTATGGAGCAAGCTGGTGGGCTACTTGTTCTTATCCACCAGGAGTAACTGGCGTAAGTAAGTAATTACAAGTAATTATAGCACTAAACGAGGCTTAAAATTTCTTGACTAATCACTGAAATAAATTGTTTAATCATATCAAAATCTTTTATATTATATAAGGTCAAAATGGAGTCTCATTAAGTTTTAAACATTTAATTCAGTTATTTTTTTACTTTTTAAACGAATAAGCTGAAATATGATTATAATTTAGTTATGTCTTTGTAAATTAGAATAAATGAACTCAGGTCGTGTTCATTTCATTCGAAAAAGTTTAATTGTTTTTCGGGTTTAGTTGTGATTAATTGAAATTTTATATGTTAAATGTAATTTTTCGTTCTATCTATGTCTATGTTAACACATTAGTTAAGTTCTTTTCAAGTCCTTTTTAACTCCTTACATATATGGTTAATAATTTCTGAGGGTTGATTAAGTGAAAACGAAAAATTCACGTAAATGAAAAACGTTAATGATGCTAAACGTTTCAAGATTTGTTGATAGAATCTATTAGTTTCAACTTATTTGTTGTTGTTCCGAAAAGGCATATGCGATAACGGCAATTCCGTAGTAAAATCAAGCAATTACGCCTAATGTAACAAGTAGAACCTATGTACATAAGATATGATGTTTCAAACAAATATATTTAACTTTTGATTAAGATTATGAACCGATTGGTGCTAGACCACCGTTGAAAACCTGGAAGCACCGTGACCAGTGGAGCTAATCTATGTCAGGTAGAGACAGGTATCTCCTCAGTACAATGAAAGATAGTCACGCAATTTCATGGATTGGTTGAGGTTAGATACTAAACTTATTGGATACCGACTAAGTGGTCTAGATGTTAAGCGTTGATGCGCAAAGCCGAAGGTCCTGGGTTGGAACCCCCAGAGGGGGTCATGGGCGTGGACTGTTGAGAAGTCCCACCATAGGATGAAACGGCCGTCCAGTGCCTCCACGTTTTCAATGGTGGTCTAACATCAATCGGTTCATGATTTCAGTCAAAAGCTTAGTAATCTTCACAACCCCATACTGATAAATGCATTTGAATGATTACGTTAAAGGGAAAATTCTCGTTTGGACATTTAAAAAAATGATGAAACAAGAAAAATATTTTTTTCAATTAGTTTTTAATTACGTCTCCGACATTAGTATGTTTATATGAATACTGGTCGAAATTTAAAAGCACATTTTGAAAGAGATAATAAACTAAGTATGTAAAAGACAATAATGTATATATGATTTTTCAAAGTGATCCCATCGATTGACATTTGAACAGTTTCAGCGTTTCACTTAAAAATGTAGTCCAAACGTAATAACAAAAGTAACCAGTTTTAATTATTTTCACCTGATAGTAAAAATTAGGATGTACAATAATAATAATAATAAAATAGATACTAATCAAATATTCATGTTTTAAACAAAACTATTAACAAATCGAAGTACTCATCAAAATATAATCCAAACAATAAGAATGAAATTGTGTGCTAGTAAACCTCTGATAGTCACTGGTAGTGTGATGTTTGCTACTGATGTTGATAGATATATGCAGTGTGTATTATCAATCTAAAATGAAATGTCTGGCGGTAGTAGGTTAAGAAGATCTAAAAGAAAAGGTCGAGAACATAGAGTAATTGGTATGGAAACGAAGAAACAGTGAAGTCTGAGACAATTGACTTACATTTCGCAAATGAAGTATTTACTATACGGTTATCAGATTTGACTAAGATATCCCATAATTTTTTATTCAAATGCATTTGACTGTACTCGCCTGTATTCTCATTCATTGTAGTAGGACATTTTTAAGAAACTTCAATTAATGATACACTCGATTAGTATCAATATAATTAAACTAGAGTTTGCTTCAACCTGACTGCTAGTCTAAGGAATGCTAGTTAGAGTCCGTTATGGATCCTCATTTTCTTCAAGAATACATGTACACCATTCTGATAAATGCCAAATATTACGGAAGGTAGATTCACGTCTTTATATCTGCAATCACCTAACATCACTCAGTTTTAATGTTTGTGCTTAATTTTAAAAAAAAGGATTTGTATAAATGAGATTTGTTTATGAAGACATTTATGATAAACGACTAAGGTCAGTTGGAGAAATGTTCATCTATAAAATAACGGGAAGGTTTGTGAACTCTTCTTGTTAAATATTAACGTCAGTCTTTTTAGTTACATATTACAAAGATGGAGAGGAAGTTGAGTTATCACTAAGAGGTAGAAAATTATAACAAACTATTTTTAGATGCTAATTCTTCACTGAACACAGGATCAAGTAAGATAGGACTTTTTATAATAAGTTTCATAAATAATCACCTTGAGATTGATAGTTCTCTATAAAATTATGAATAACCAACTTTAAATACCCATAGTTTATATTGATTAATGAATTTTTAAGTTCTTGATGAAATTCTTTATTTTAATTTGTTCATTTTTCTTATTTTATAAAACGAAAGAAAGTCTTCTTGTCGGTCAACTTGAATCAATCACACTAAACTGTTTATTTTCAGTAAATTATTAGCTCAAATGAAGATGACTACATTACAGTTTAAAACTGTAAACATACTTCAAGACACTGAATTATTTCTGCTAAGATTAGTTTTAATGATAAAAATTAATTTCTAATATTTATTTGACTGTTTCAGTGGTCGAATGAAATCTTAGCATTATGACAAGCCTTACAAATGTTAATGATGACATACTGTCATCTAATATAATTCATTCACTCAAATATAGTTTTGATACAAATAAGGTCATTATTCAATAGTGATATATCCTTATTAGTGGCAGCTAATGTTATTGTGAAATGTGAATATACACGAATGTGTATCTGAATTTAACATGTATTTAAAGATAGATGTATATTAAAAGTGCACTGTAATCTAAATATGAAATCAAACAAAATCATTTTTGTGGTTATAAGCAAGGATGGACAGTGGCTAGCACTGGAATGCAAGATGCGTGTTATATCCTATTTGGGACTTGTCAGCTGCATGTAAATGCACCCGAGTTGATATTCACTCCGGGATTCGAACCCAGTACCGTTCGCTTCAAATGCCATCGCGTTACCACCTAACTACTGAGTCCTGATAGCCACCTGCTTGGGTAATGGGTGTACCTTCATTTAGAGTTGATTTCCACTCTGGGTGCTAGCCACTATCCATCTTTGCCTATAATACTTGTAAACTAAGGCAACATCGAGGCAATACTCACAGTATTCACACATGGCAATAAGAGACTGATCAGTCGCAGTCGCAAGCATCGATGGGAAGACTCAAGTAAACAATATCACGTGAATTCATTTTTATGGTTGTTGAAAAATCCTGGAATAAAGGTGGAGATTAAGTTATGCTACTAGGTAATGAGCTGTAGAATATAAAGTAATCAACTTATTATCTTCTTAGTAATATGTTCCTTCAAACTGTGCACTGGTTGTTAGAGAACTTAAACCAAATATGAGTTGTTAGTTAGCCATATGTGTTTATTGTTACAAGCAGAGCTTAAATATGGTTTATCCGTTCATTCTGTTAAATTTGACGATTTTGAGCGAAAACGTAAAAATCTATCTGAACAGTTACCAATCTTTTTAGATTATTCATATAGATTTGCTTTGTATCTTGACAAGGAATATTTTATTTTATGAATAAAATATATAGTGAAGGGAAAACATTATTCGAAACGAAAGGAATGTTTTGTAATTAGATTTTAAGAAGTTTACAACTTATTCTATGTAATTGGTACAACTAAGGTGTAAAAATCCTTTCCTTTCCTATATGTATTCAAATAGTCATTCGTGTCATCATCTTATTTACTGTTTCACTATCCTGTTCACTTTTAAATTTCAGAAACATCACAAGTCAGTATGCTTCAACAAACAATTTTAAAATGGGGAAAACATTTCATGCGGAACAATCAAAAGATCAGCAAGTGTCATCTTCTTCCCCAACACCATTTCAACAGACTGCTAATGAAACAGCAACTGTTACAAATGCTGGACAGTTGAGTAGATCAGGATTTTTACGTCATCCATTACGTAAAGCTATGAGTTATGTGAAACCTCAATCAGAATCTTTTGTATCAGTTAAATCAGCTTCAAGAAGACTTCATCATACTTCAACTATTGAAAAACCGGATGATCCAAAATTTAGATCTAGCAGCAAGAGTTCAAGTCGTAATTCACTTTATAACAATATAAAACATTTCGATTTATCAATTAAGGTAAGAACAAAATGAATCTCAAAATAAAGAATGAACAAGATTCACTTAACATTTGATTACACCATGATGCTTACCGCCATATCATATTTAACTTAAATTTATGGAATATTTTATAAGGAAAATCTGAGTTTTGATTTTTCTCAACTATTAAGATACCAAATATTCTTTCTGTATTAGAGTTGGGCTTATAATGTTTCTCTTCTAGTGTATATTGTGTTTGCACAATATCTGATTTTTTTCTTAGATTTTTAGTGACTAGTGTTTGTTTAGACAATTTCGATTTCCTGTTCAGTAGTTACAATTAATCAATAAATAATTCCTAACTAACTAGGTATTCATTCAGAAAAAGAAAAAAATATTTCGAATATACAGGTGGCGACTGAAAGAAAAAAACTCTAACATAATTTATCTATATACGGAAAGCGGTCCCCTTCCTAAATTTTATTTAATGGTCAATAACACATTTTTCCAACTTGAAAAATTTAATGTTCGAATTATGGCTCCAGTTTTTCTTAAGATTAACAAACAATATTGTCTAGACGATTGCCTAAAAAGGGGATAATGTTTTAGATCAATCTTCTTCAGATGTCAAACAAAAGCTTATGATGGCACTTCAGTTACATGTTTTGCTTTATAACATTTCATTAGAGTTGAAACTTGAATGGTCATATATTTGACAGACTAAATCATCCAACGTCTTTTCTGTATTAAAAAGCGGGAATATTGATTGAGCGACCATCTTCCATTTTACTGAGGGAGATACCTGTCTCGACTGGTCACGGTTTCTCACTAGAACCCGGAGAATTCCCTCACGAAGCTAGTCACTAGTGAGCACATGATAATTATCAGTATAGGAATTGTGAAGATTTTAATAAGTTTTCAAATGAGATCATGAACCGATTGATGTTAGAGTACCATTGAAAACCTGGAAGCACTGGACGGCCGTTTATGTATACGATGTTGTAGAAAATAACGAGAAAAAGTATTAGTTTGTAGGTTATTTCCAATTTATTTATATTTAATCATTATTTACCATTGTTTCTATAAACCACCTCTGCAAATGTCAATGAAATAACATGTATTGATTTCTACGGTAAAATCTATCAAAACATTGAACTAGATATATGCCATGCACTACTAAATACCGTTTAGTATTTTTAAAAATAATTGAAATCATCGAAAGGAAATGAGTTCATTACAGCGAAATGTGATCATTACGTAGCTCCAGTGCATTTTCAAATTTATAAAACACAGTCCAAAACCAATCAGCAACAAGCCTATATTATTATCATAATTAGAATCATTCATAATTTATTTATGTAAACTTGAATTCAGCCAAGTAAAAACTAATTTTGATTAGATGGTGGTTGAAGGTAGTCGACAGGAAACCCTGGATCCGGGTTTCGTGCTACTTGGCACTCGTCAGCAAGGTGTACCCGTAATCCTGACGGAACTGGTGCTCCCTGGCGGATTCGATCTCGTGTCACCTAGCTTCACAGTCAGAGACGTTATCACTGAGCTATTTGAGCCGCGACCGACCTCCGATTAATTGTGAAAAACGAATTCCGTCAGGTTTATATTTTATTGATAGTAAAGTACATTAATTATTTCTTGCTTTGTTATTCTCTATTTCATTCGACTTTTATTTGCTTTTTAAAAAAATAATCAAAACATCTAAGCCAACGAATGAATGTTTACAAATGAATGATCATTCAAATCGATCAACTATACAGGAAGTTTACACTGGGGAATCATGCTATTCAACAGCACCTAAACAAGCCATAAAAATTGATGTAGAAAGAAAAACCAAACAAAAAGAGTAAGTAATTCTGATTGTATCTTTTCAATAATAAATAGAATTTCAGGTTATTAATATTCATATATATACTCCTTTGATGTTGCAGTTAGGATATTAAAATCCAAATCATTTTTGGTTACTTATTTACACAGAAATACGTTGACAAGGAAGATCATATGTCTAAGGAAAACAAGTGACAACGAATTTTATCCTTAATGAAACTAATAATGTAGCGTGTGCTACTGATGTTGACAGATATGAGTAGTATGTATCATCGATCGAAATTAAAGTGCTTGGAGGCAGAAGGTTAAGAAGACCTAAGAGAAGAGAATGATTGGTGTGGAAATGAAAGAATAACGAAGTCTGAGACGGTTGATTGACATTTTGCAAATGAAGTGTTTACTGTATGGTTCTCAGATTTTACTAAAATGTTCTATAATTTTGTATTCAAATATATTTGGTTGTCCCTACTTGTGTTCACTATAGTAATATAAGCTTCATTGTTATGTCTACACTTAATCTATTTTATTTACTATACATGACATAGTGAATTTACAAAAAAAATTATTAAATATATATGTAATCTCTGGTTTAGATGATGATAAACTGAAATATTAGTCAAAGATGGGCAGTGGCTAGCAGTGAAATCCAGGACGCGCGTTTCGTCCTATTTGGGACTCATCAGCTGGATACACCTGTATCGCAGAGTTAATGTTCAGTCCGGGACTGAGTCCTGATAGCTACCTGTTTGTGCGATGGGATCAAGTATAAATTCACTCAGTGTTGTTTTACTTGTATCTTCCCATTGTCAATTCGGACTGCAATTGATCAGTCTCGCGTGGATAACGCTATGACGTTTGAAGCGAACGGTACTGGAGTGAATATTAACTCTGCAGTGCAGGTACATCCAGCTGACGAGTCCCAAATAGGACAAAACACGCATCCCGTATTCCAGTGCTAGCCACTATCCATCTTTTCTTCAAAAACTTGTGACTTAAGGTTATATCGAGGCCATTCGCATAAGATGCACATATGCCAACATGAGACTGATCAAGTGTAGTCCTAAATAACAATGGGAAGATACAAGTAAAACAACACCAAGTGAATTGAAATATTATTCGCTGAAATATCTGTATGGATTAAATTCATAATTTACTTCATCACTTAGTTTTTCATAGACCTAATTATTTGCCTTACTGTCTTACATTTTAATGTATTTTTTTTCTAAATTGAAAGTTATTTTTGATTGTTATGAAAACTTTGAAATTACTTCTGTATAAACTACATGTTCTCACGTGACTCAAACAGTCATCGGTTATTAATGTACTCACTATAATACAAATGACAACATACTTAACTAAATTACAGGAATAAACAATTTTGACTAATGGATTTTTCTAATTTTTCAACTTACATCTTCATAACTGACCCATAATGTTGTTGTTAAGTTTTGTGTATTTTCTATTTATTTATTTAAAATAAATTAAAATGAACAAACGAAACGGAGTTTGGTAAGTAGATTGTCTGACCATATTTATATTATATGATAAAAGTTTGGCTATCAGTTATATAGTTTCGTTTCAAACTTACTGAATATAGTCACTTCATATACTAAGGTTCGCATTACAATTGAAATTATTGACACGCTTGTGTAATTCAATTACTGAAAAGAATATTAAAGCTAAAGTAGTTTATCACGATTATTATAAATAAAGTCATAGTAATATCGAAAGTGTAGATACTGTCATTCAATTGTTATTGTCAATCAACAACAGAAATGTTGTAACTTTCAATAATGACAACAGTTACTAATGTCAATAATCAATTATATTGAATGAATGTAAATGGTCCTTTTTAATTTCATAGTGATTTTCATAGAATCTATCTCTGATAATTAAGATTCGTGTCTGCTATTAATAATAGTTTGGTAAATTCCAACAAATAACGATGACACTAATAATCATAATAATATCAATAATAGTAATCGAAATCAATATTCGAATTACATTGTAAGTACAGTTGGATGATTGTTAACGGCAAAATTCAGAAAGTACATTTAGCTCTATATAGGACTAATCATCTAGATCGACCTGCATCATAGATTTGATGTTCACCCCGGGACTCGAACTTCATTCCCTTCACTAAGAACGCGTTGTTCATTTAGCTGTTGAGTTCAGAGAGTCAATGTCTTGTGGAAATGAAGTGACAAATACCAATGGGGAAATTTAAACAACCAATACAAAAATGAATTAAAGTTTGTCCCATTGAGCAAGCTAGTAGCTATTAGGACTCAGTAGCTAAGCGGGTAGCGAGATGGCATTTGAAGCAATCTTACTGGGTTCGAGTGCCTGAGTGAACATCAACTCGGATGCAGGCATACCTAACTGACGAGTCCCAAATAAGACGAGACGCGCATCCTGAATTCCACTGCTAGCCGACATCATCTATGCTCATAATACTTGTGACTTTAGGTAATATGGAGGGGATCCGCACAGCACGACCACATTTCTATAAGAGACTGCTCTATTGCCACCCTAAACATCAATAACAAGATGCAAACAGCCAATATAAGTGAATTCAAATTCAAATTGCGTCTTGATGCATCATTACAATTACACAATATATTCTGTTTTAATATTTCGATAACAACAATTTCTTTCATTTCGTTCTTTTGGTAATTAAATTTTTTTCTTACAATGGGAAATTATCTTAACATAAATGGGTAACATATGTTATTGTTTTGCAAATTAACTCATTTACCGAATTATTTCATCTTTTATTTCACAATTTATTTCGTAGGTTCATTTACTTGATAATGAAAATAAAAGCTTGAGATATAAACCTATAAACATGAAATATTATACATGTTGCGTTTTATAGGTTTCAGTTTCCGATGAACATTTTTATGCATATATGTATATATATATCATGTGAACACGTGTGAAGTGTAACAGTCTTATAGTTATGCTACTCTAATAAACAATTAACTTAAAACATAAGTTGGGTATATATCATCTTCTATTTACATGTACTCAATACTGTTTGTGGATATCTATTTAATAATAAAGAAAAATAAGAATACTAAATAACAAAAGTATCACTGACGATAACCAAATTAACTCAATGGATATAAATATGTATAATAATTAGAACATTTCTCTACTGATGAATTAAAAGAAAATAGTAATAGTTTTAGTATATGGTGTTAAATATAAAAAATCTAAAACCTAAGCATCCTTTTAAACGACTTGAATCCGTTTGATTGTGGTTGGACATTTTAGTAAAGCAATTGTCTCTGACTAATTACGTTTAAACTTACATTACTTTGATTCTTAGCTTATAAAATGTAAATATGTAAGAAATTTATAATGATTAATTGAAAACGGTCTAAGACTACAAATTAATTAAATAATCATTGTTAGTGACCAATATCACAGATACTTAAAGGGAAATATCTTGTGGTGTGGGTTACTTATATCCATATATGTAATATATAACGGTGGTCAGGCATAGAATATATATTTCAGTAGAAGGTCGATGAGGAAAGAACAGGAACTGAATGCAATTGGTATGAAAATGCATGAACAATGAAATCTAAGACAATGGAGTGATGTTTGCAACAGGAACAGCCAAGTTTGAGATGATAGATTGGTATTTTGCAAATTAACGATTTACTGTATGGTTCCCATATTTTTTTGAGATGCTCTGCAATTTCGTGCCAAATACATTCTATTATCCTCACTGGTGTTCTTGTTCACTACATCTTATTTATATTGGTGTATTAATATTATTATTACTAATATTATTGTTATTAATTGCCATAGTTTTTGTTGCATTAATTAAAACCAGATCATAAAAGCAAAAATTTCTAAATATTGATTATATCAGATGGGTTTTTGGGATATTATAGTAATTTCAATGGTTAAGATCATGAGTCAGTTTAAGCTAGTGCTCACTAGTGACTGGCTTCAAGAGATATATCCTGGAGTTCTAGTGAGAATTAGTGATCAGTGGAGTTCAACCAGGTCTATTGTGAGATAGTAACTCACTGAATACAATGGTGGATGTGTCGCTCAATTTCGTGGGTTAGTTGAAGTTAGACATTAACACTGTTGGATGCCGGCTCAGTGGTCTAGTGGTTAAGTGCTCACGTGCGAAACCAGTAGGTCCTGGGTTTGAATCTCGCAGGGAGCGAGGTCGTGGATGCGCACTGTTGATGAGTTTTACAATAGGACGAAACGGCCGTCCAGTGCTTCCAGGTTTTCCATGGTGGTCTAGCTTCAACTGACTCATGATCTTAATCATCGAAATTATTGATTCTATCACAATAAATAAGTAAATTCCGATAAATATTATCAGGAGAACGTCTATCGTTAAAACATTAAATGTTCAGTAACAAAAATATGATAATAAAACACAAACAAAACGAATGGACAACAAAATTTTATTATTACTAGTTCATCAAGTAACGAGAATATAAGTCAATCATTCAATGAAATATGATTCAGAAAACAAAGAATTATAATGAAGATGAATGCTAAGAAAAGTAAAAAAAGAAAATAATTAAAGACAGCATATGTAACATGTTTCTTTTTTTCGTAATTAAAAATTACTCATGCAACTGTATTTAAATATCATTAGAACAATGAGAAGAGGAAATTGAGCTGAAAAGATGTGATGTATTTACGTTATACATTTCGAACAATCTGGTCACATATATAGTTGTCAAGACATTTTATATGAAAATTAATAAAGGTCAATTAAATGAAAGTTCCAGTAAAAAGGTAACAAAGGGGAGAGAAATAATGTTTACATCGTATAGAATGAATAAGAAATTGTCGCTTTATCCTAAGCCATAGAATGACTTAAGAATTAGCAGGGTACATTGTTAAGTCCAAATACATCACATTTTTCAGATCAACTCCATCTTCTCATTGTTCTATTGAAATTTATAAAAAGGGAATAATTGCTTTAAATAAATAAATAATCCATCGTAAAATCAAACTTGTTTTATTACACATTATATTCACACAACAATATTATTATTATCTCAGTTAACAAAATTATTTTCAATTTTGCAATAGTACTATTATCTTATTGTGACTGAACAATTTACTGACCTTTATTGAATGACCTTTCTAATTTGCAAATATTACATTTTTTTCTTTTTGAAGTATATATATATATATATATATATCGTAACAGATGCAAACGTGCACCATTTTTTTACACATAACATTGTCAAACTCATTAAAACATGCCTTATTTTTGGCCTTTGTAAAATATTATAATTATGGACTTATAACTGTAGAGCCTGATGATGAAGTTATTGAAAACAATTGTTCGCTCAAATATTCTTCGTTTTAGTTGTATACGTTAAGTTTCATAGAATAATGTAAGACCATTTTAAGAACCAATAAAAATAAAAGAACATTGAACAGATATTTTAATATAGGATAAAAAACGAGACTATAACTTATGAATGGATCAATAAAATTTAGGATAATATTAGTCTTGGATTTTGGCGCGGAATTCTTTCATCCGTTTGGTTAAATAGCGTTTCGGGATTATAGCTGATGTTAGTTCGTGATGAAAACCTTAAATCTAATTTCTAATCTTATTCATCAACTTTAAATCATAATTGTCATTCCTCACACCGGTTTATAATCGTCATTTACTCCTATCTATAGGTAGACATTCTGAAGGTCAGTTTAGTGTCTCTCAAAAGTCGTTCATAAACTATAGACTTGCCGTTGATGAGAAAAAACCAAAGTGTGACTGGTTCCCATAAATATGTTAACAAAACAAATCCTAATAATTAATCATGTTTATTCAGAATTAATTTTCTACTTTTATGCTTTATCCCAGTTAAACAGTTCATCTAATTAAAATGCAGTTCTGAAATCGTGTTATAATTATTTTCAGGAGTATAAATTTGTTATTTTAAAATTCGAAGAAAAGAACTTTAGCGATGATCAAGTTTATTTCAATTAGCTTTCAACCATAGTTTTAAAACTCTCTATATAACTAACCGGTAATTGAATGATGACCGATGTTATGTTTACCCAGTTCTTCAGTGCTGATCGTTTTTTCTCGACTAATTTAAAATATGACCACTATTTTAAAGGACTCAGCACTGAATGCACCATTTTTAGAATTACAGTGGCTGATAATATTTTTGATAGGGAACCTCAGATATGGGTTTTGTGATAATCGGCGCTAATCAGAAAGGTATGCACGCAATCTTGTGCAGAATAATGTTACCGATTGAATTCTGGTCCTTATTGACCAGCATCATCGTTAAAGACATGACCACAGAGTTATTCGAACAACCGTTACAATTGTTAATTGAATTAATTATAATTAGATGACGATAACAAAGATTACAGTATTACAAATCCTAAAGTATTTGTTGAACTAGTGATGAACGATTCATAAGCTAATTTCAAACATCAGAGCGTACAAGGTAATAGTCATATTTAAAATGGAAACAATCTAATAAATAATTTAAAAATGTCTGCAATATAGTTAGTATATAAAATATTAAGTAGAAACATAATTGAGAAAAGAGATTGTTAGAAGTTAGAACATTGTCAATTATAAACACATCATGTCGTAAGATGTTCATTATTCAACGATTTGATTTTGAAAAGAAAGAATAGTTATAAGTTTGACCTTTATAATAAACTTATTTAACATATTCGTTAAAGACAATTAACGGCTGCATAAATATCTCAAATCTATTAACCATACCAACATGTGATAACATTGTATAAATATTGTGTCATAATGGAAATTTTATTGTTTTCTTTCGTCGTATTTTTCGGTTCCTACGATATAAATTTACTGAAGTCAATGTTATTTTTTTTCTCTCACAAAATTCGAGTATTTCTTGGTACCTTTCTATAAGTAAAGAACTAATCAGTGAAATATCTATTGATAATGAATTAAACATATAATCATTATATTTAAACTGAAAAAAATGGATATAACTAAAAATGTTGCCACCTCATTCAAGCTGAGTGGCCTAAATATTATGAACTATCCAAGAAATCTAAATTTATGATTGAGATCATGAACCGATTGATGTTAGACCATCACAATTGAAAACCTGGAAGCACTGGACGGCCGTTTCGTCCTATTGTGGGACTCCTCAGCAGTGCGCATCCACGATCCCGCTCGCGGGATTCGAACTCAGGGCCTTCAGTCGCGCACGCAAACACTTAACCTACCAAACTACTGAGCCGCCATCCAATAGTGTTAATGTCTAACCTCAATCAATCCATGAAATTGCGCGACCATCTTACATTGTACTGAGGTAGACACCGGTTTTTACCCGACACGGATTAGCTCCACTGGTCACGGCTTCTCACCAGAACGACGAGAACTTTCTCACGAAGCTGGTCACTATTGAGCACATGATAATGATCAGTTTAGGGGTTGTGGAGATTGTTAAGTTTTTGATTGAGATCATGAACCGATTGATTTTAGACCACCATGGACCACAATGGAAGATGGTCGCGCAATTTCATGGATTGGTTGAGGTTAGACATTTACACTATTGGATGGCGGCTCAGTAGTTTGGTAGGTTAAGTGTTCGCGTGCGCGACTGAAGGCCCTAAGTTCAAATCCTGCGAGCGGGATCGTAGATGAGCACTGCTAAGGAGTCCCACAACAGGACAAAACGGCCGTCCAGTGCTTCCAGTTTTTCAATGGTGGTCAGGTTTTATTCTTTGAAGATATTTGTACATGTACAACTGACTAAGTTCATACTAGAACTAAATCATTGACAAATTTTCCCCAATTTTTTACTAATTTTTTGGTTCATATCATGGATTGACAAAATACACTTATTTAAAAGTATTTATTAACAATATATAACAACATATTTATTTTATTATTGTATTTCTTTTAATTATAGTATCCGCCATCTGAATGATTTAATAACGAATATTTTACCAAGATCATTCTCTAATGCATTTAGACGACCAGTAGGTAAATGTAAAAGCGCATCGCCTACAATAGTAAATGATCATCATATAGAAAAACTGATTGATTCTTTCAGATTTGATAATTTTGAAGTGGAAAGTCAACATTCAGAGAAATCTCCTTCTGATTTCTTAACACCTAATGAAGCATCTCCAGTTCTTAATGAACATAATGTACCAACAAGAAGTCAACTACAACAATGGGAACAATCATTTGACAAACTTTTAGCTGATACAGGTAGAAAAATGCTTTTTTGATTAACTACTGTGTACTTTTCAATATACCTGAAAATATTCATTTAAATTAGATAATTTGTTACGCATAGTTAAAATCGATGTACAACACAAACGTATTCTTATAAACGTTTAAATGTAATGTTTCACGTTTTCGTGTTATTATTAAGGAGATCAGACAGAGATCCTGGATTTAATCTTTGGCAGGGTCGTCAATAAATATTACTGTGGTATTCTTTACTTAGATGAAACAGCCATCAGTTACTTACAGGTTCTCACTGGTTGTCTAACCAAGGTTATTCCATGATGTAAAGTATGTATACATAATAGCAGTCCGTAAATAGTTGCCAGAATTCATCCATAATTTAATCTTCTTAGAACAAAACAGCTCATACACTAACTAGTTTCAGTATCAATAAACAATGAACTTTAGCAAAGTCATTTCTTTGAAATTCTTGAAATATTTGTAATTCATCAGTATCAACTCTTTGAGATATAATATTTCAATCTCAACTGAGAACCAATAGAACTTAAACTTACGTTTGTAATTTAGACATAAAAAATAACAAAATCCCTGTCATAAATTTCGTCAACTATCCAATAAATGTAATGAATATCAAGAACCTGTGTGTTTCATCAAAAGGACCAAATAAGAATGGAATATTATCAAAAAGCGATAAATTTAGAGGTCGTTTAAGATTCATTGTATACTTACGACTATCTTACTGTTATTCTACAATAATAACAATAAGTATGTGGCTTCCTCTAACAGTAGTATCTATATTTCACAAAGTGAATTACAATAGAAAGCTGTATTATTAAGTTTTTCATTTATTGTTATAGTCAATGACACTACTTGAACAGTAAATATCTTTTCAATTTTTTTTAAACATCAAATACTCATAGATTTTGATGCTGAATAAAATCACAAACATGCCATTTTTTTCTTTAAATTCACTCATTAGTTAGTAATTTTACGCATAATTTAATTTTACAGATGGTTTGTCTCAATTTCATCACTTTTTGAGATCAGAATACAGTGAAGAGAATATTGAGTTTTGGTTAATTTGTGAATTGTATAAACATCTACCACAAGAAGATCTTGGTGAAGAATCACGAAGAATCTATCGTCTTTATTTAGCGCCACATTCACCACATGAGGTAAATTGTGAACTAAAATTAATCTTACTATCTGTAATACATGAATACATGAATATGAAAACAGTTGTATTTCATTAGTGATGACTATGAAAAGTACCGGTTCGTTGTGGTTTTTGATTGACTTGTCATAAAATACGTTTTAGGTTCCTTAATAACACAACCGAATAGCACAGTGTACTTATTTTGTTTTAAAAGTCAAAATATGTTTCATATGTTTTAAGGTTATAATAAAAAAGCTAGGAATAATAAGACTTTTAGTTTCTTAATATTACTAAACATTTGTTTTATAAATGACCCAGGTATTTGATTATGTTAGTTCTCTGAAACTACTAGAAATCTCAATACAACACTTTGGGAAGTAGTTGTGAACTTCGGTAATTGGCTGACTTTCTTGAACATTTTGAACAGCATAATGTTGGATTCATTATAAACTCGATCTAATGAAATCCTTCAGCCGTCGTTTCCTTATTACCCCTTCAGCTAGAAGTTTGTTTGTTTTCTCCCACAGTAGGCTGTTGCTAATAGTATCCGGTCAACGGACATTTAGTACCTTGCATAGAAAATTGTTTATAAATACTTGTACTATTTTGATAATGGTTGTTGTAGCCCTCCAAGTTTCAACTCCATACAGTAGAACTGTCTTGACGTTCGTATTGAAGATTCTGACTTCGATGTTGACTGACAGTTGTTTGGGATTCTGTATGTACTTCAGTTGTAGGAATGTTACCGTTGCTTTGGTAATACCTGACTTTAGGTCTTCATCAGATCCTCCTTGTTCATCTGTGATGCTGATCAGGTATGTGAAAGTTTCCATCTCTCTCAGAGCTTCTCCATCAAGTGTGAGTGGGTTGGTATTCTCTGTGTTCTACTTCAGGATCTTTGTTTATCCCTTGTGTTTGTTGAGGAGTACTGCTTCAGAGGCCACACTGCTACAATGGCTAGTGATTTTCTAGTATGGTAAATATCTGCTTATCATAACTAGTTTCACGGAATATTGATAAAATCATAGTGAGTAGTGTAAATACCCACTATTAAAAAACATATTCATATTCTAATCATTTAATATTCATCGATTACATCAATACCCCAAAGTATATCTTAATCAATAAGTGACTGTCATATAAGTTCTGTTAATTCAAGTGAAGTAAATTGTCATGTAAGATACTATATTTTCTGACCAAAAGAATAAACACAAGCTAACATTGTGTAAGTGAAACCTTAGAAAATCGATTTCAGTCTTCTTTAAGTAATTAATTGAAATAAAACTGACTAAACACAGACCATTCTTGTATTAATAATTTAATAATTTGGTTTCTATGATCCGTTTAGTCATTACTTTCACTGTACTTCCAATTTATAAAGTATATTTTCATCAAGATCAAACATTTGTTGATGCTAGAATAAATGATCAATGTTTCGGGTGGCAAACATTAGTATCTTTTATTATGGATGTATATACGTAACCGATAACAAATTTTGTAATTATCAGTCAATCATTCTATATAACTTCAAGTTTAAACCCTTATATTCCTATCATTATGAATCTTTATGTATATTTAATATCTGGATCAACTTCTTCAGTATATAAGATTAAGAAGATCTTCATTTATTGAATTATAATACATTTCAGTCATGATAGGATTAATTAAGCAAACCTTTTAAGAATATACAGAAATTTATTGTAACAGAAAAGATTAGTAAGTAGTTATTGCATTATATGTAGGGAATGATTGAGTTCAGTTTAAACCATATATGACCGTTCATTCAGAAAGTTCTCTACATTGGAATACCTAGTACTTCATTTTGGAAATACTTAAATATTACTTATTGATCAAACGTATGTTATTAATCTGTTAATTCATGACCATAGGAAGATCCGTAAAACTTCTTTTATTTCAATATACAGTTCATTAAAAAAGCAACAACGATGTACTGGATCATTTACACCTCTGTTTGTGTACTCTATGTTTTTTTTTAAAGGTTAATTTAGATTCGGAAACTCGGAATCAAACAATCGCTAGCATAACAAATCCAACTAATGAATCATTTATTTTAGCTCAACAAACTATTCAAGGATTAATGAATAAAGATTCTTATCAGCGGTTTTTACGTTCTTCGTTTTATTTTGAATTAAAACAATTAGTTTGGCATACATATCCAGAAAATGATGAACCGACAAATTCAGAATCTAATATACAAGATACTATCATATCCGATAATCAAACTCAATATTTCATATCCAGAGATCCAATCACTGACAATACATCCAGTCCATGTTCTGAAGAAGAACATATCAAGGTAGGTATATAATTAACAAAATATTTTTTCAATTAAATATTGACAGGTAGTAACTAAAACCTAAATTGAATTATACGTTAGATTTCTTTTTCAAATAAACAGTTTACTTACTTGATAAACACTAAACTTTTATCTAGTTTGTAAACAATCTACTGTAAGTCGTAAATAATCTGATTACATTGTTTCTCAGACAAGAAAGTTTTATGATCCAGTTTGATTGTTCTGTAATTTGATGAGAATATTTTTCAATAACCATTTGAAAGAAATTTTAATTTGTTAAATGAATAGACAAGCCAATATACATTGGTTAAACTATCATGGGTATATTACACAAAAATGTAATATACACTGAAAGCTAGTCTGTGTAATTCATAGTTACCTAATAGATATTCGAAAATTTAGTTTAATCTAGTAATTAGTCTGATAAACTTATAAGATATTTTTCCTAATTAACTAACAATAATCAAATCACAGTTTTACAATAATGAGTTATTAAATTATAATTAAATGTCATATTGTTTAGTCATTAGGGCTGATTGAAATCAATCGGATAATTTGCAAAGCAGCTGATAAATTGACTGAGAATGCATAGTGACAGATTTTTGTTTGGTGTTAAGAATTCCACTCAAATTACTTGATAGTCCACTTTTAGAAAAGAAAGGAAATCGTTAGGAAGGAATGCAGATTGTTAAATTTGATTACATATAACATTGTGATTGTTTGACAGAATAAGGTCTTATGATTTATCTAGTAAAGAAATACTACTTTTAGAGGCATATACATCAATACCGTTGGATGCCGGCTAGTTGGTCAAGTGCCTGGCGTGAGACTGATAGGTCCTGGGTTCGAATCTCGTGAGGTGCGGGATCGTGGATGCGCACTGCTGGGGAGTCCCATACTAGGACGAAATGGCCGTCCAGTACTTCCAGGTTTTCCATGGTGGTCTAGCTTCAATTGACTCATGATTTCAGTCAGTGAAATTTATATGAGGGCCAAGACTCTATCACTAAAGCAAATGGTTTATTTTCAATAAATGTCTAGCTTAAATGTATTTAAGGGTAAGCCAGCATATTAACATTATGGAAAATAAAATCAACATAGAAACGGTAAATTTATTCCTTAATCATTAGAATAACACAAAGTGTGTATAACTTGTCATATAATTAAAATTATTATTTCTTATTCGTTACTAGAACTAATTAAATGCTTGGAAGATATTAATTTACATTTTAAATGTTTTAAATTGATTGTTAGATCGTATTTACGCTTCCAATCAACATTTATGTCATCCGATAATCCAACTCGTACAGTTGATCAAATCATCTTTGAAACTTATGCTTAAAATCTAGTCACCACTTTCGATGGTTATTTTTAGTATCTTTCTACTATTTATGATTGTAAGTATATTTTATCGTTTACTTAAGTAGCTTTTAAGTAACCTGATAGCTGAATTCATGAGTCAATTAAAGGTACACCATTGAAGACCTGGAAGCACTGTACGACCGTTTCATCCTAGTACGGGACTCCTCAGCAGTGTGCATTCACGATCCTGCACGCAGAACGCGAACCAGGGACTTTCAATCTAAACCATTGAGACGGCATTCAACGGTGTCAATTTCTAACTTTAACCAATCCACGATATTGCGCGACAGTCGACCATTGTCTTGCGTGAGTAACTGCCTCACAAAAGACACGGTTGAACTCCACTGGTTCTGACTTCTCAAGCGAACTCGTAAAATAATAACCCACCTGCTGATAAAACTCCATAATAAAATTACTTTTATAGATTACATCTTTACTTAAATAATATTGTTTTGACCATTCTTTGGAGTTGAATATTCCTATTTACTGTATCGTACACTTAGATGGACAGTAAATATTAAGATTTCATCAACTAACTACAGATTAATCTCATTACAATGATTACTAGTATTAGGAGATTAACTAATCACACGTTTTCCCTTTACTAATCTTATGTATCTAATTAGTAAAATGACCTCTCTGATTTTATTGATTTTAAATTATTTTATAAGGCAAGGATAAATGATTGTTTGTTGTGTGGCAACAAGAGGTTTCGTGTAGTGTTGTGTTCTTAAAATAAAACATCAATTTATATAAGTCGTCAGTTTTTTTCCTTTACTTGATTTATATTATAATTTCAATGTCGTTCTCAATGAGGTGAAAAGGTTAAAACTTGAGAAGATTATTCCAATCACTATGATTCACTTGAAACAAATGAAATAAAATGGTTGTTTTAGCTATGCATAAAGTGTAACCTTTTTAACATTTTTTTCAGTTGATTTTAGCTTACTTTTTCAGTTCACTACAACGGTATTAAATGTTATTAAACCATTTTGAAATCACATGCTGACTACAACACTTAAGTTGGATATATCATTATATATCGTCTAGTACTACGTCAAGCCCACATGGATTATTCTGACTTCCAGAAAAACCAGTTTATTCGTTCTTCTTAAGTCATATTCTTACTTTGTCAATCATTCTCTTATTACCCTGACTGTTTTTATTTGAGCGTGTATGTATTGATTACTCTATTCGTCTCATGTTTCTAGCTTATTTTGTATGGTTATAAATAATGAGTCACACCTTATTAAAATGGGTTGGCTCACTTGCCTTATCAACTTGGCTTCTATCCTGGTTTTCATTCTGAATGTTTATATGGATAAACGAGTCCTTCAATTAGATTCAACAAACGCAAGCCATATTTGCTTTTTGTTACTGCCGTCACCCAAACGGCGTTAATCTAGGTATGATATACGGAGTTAATTAGCAGATTTATGTTTTTAACACATTCATTCATTTTTCGGGATTAAAGTCAGATCAACGGGCCACTAAAAAGGTATGATTTGTTCATAAATCTGTTCAAATTTTTATATTTACACACGTAATGATAGTTTAACATGGTCATTATGATGTACTCGTAATATGATGAAAGCTTTGGAAGTATTTTCTGTTACGGACAGATTAGATGTTCAGAAGTCAGGACAATGATGTTTTGTATTGAACTTTTCGGAAGTGTAGACATAAGACTTCATACAGGATTGAACTAATGATCATTCAGGACTTCGTAGTCAGTTACTTTTCAAGTGATTTTGTTATTCTCTTATGGTTAACAATTTTGGACTTAGTTCATGATATACAGGCACTACTTATTGTTATCGGTGAATTCTGTCTCATCCTTAGCGTGATTGGAATTTACAGGTCACGATTTCTGACAAAGACTTTGTGAATATTTCTCAAAAGTAGTCATTAATTAGTTTATAATAACTGCTAACATATGTCAGGTTATTTATGTAAAGTCCATCTGGAATGTGAACTGAAAAGTCAACAATCTCTACAAACCTATTCTATATTAACTACTTTATGGAGTAATAACCTGTCTTAATTCGTTGACTTTAACTTGAATGTTTTATCTAGTAGATTGTAAATTGTACCGAACTATCATTTTATGCACATAATTTGAAACAACATTTATACCTTCCAAACTTATCTTTATTTGGACATCGTGATCTGTCTGCCTACAATTTACGTGATTAAAGTGTTTGATTCGATTAATTAATGATACGATTGAAAAATATTTACTTCTTAAGTCAATCTATACGATTTATTATTTCACGTTAGATAGTGGCTAGCTTTTGAATCAAGGTTACGCATGCCATGCTGCTTAACACTAATTAACTGAATATCTCTTCATTGCAAAAGTGATACTCATATAATATTATAGACTCAGTAACTTTATCTTTAAACTCAAACTCGCTATTCACTGAACTACTGAATGCATTTAATCACAAACTCGTGCAACACGCTTCCTCAATTCTATTTTCTAGCTATTACTTAGCCTTAGTAAAAATTTATGATAAAATAAGAAACCTGAGACAATCCACTCAGAGTGCATACATGCCAGTAGAGAGTGATACATAACACATGAATATGAAACACACTATTTTAATAGTGACGTCTTAATTCGTGATAATGATAGTATATATTCATGAACTTAAAGATTCAAATGTTCTTATCATTAACACTAGTAAACTGTTTCCAAGTTCACAATTCATAAAAGAATAACTTTTATCTGTCATGATATATTGTTTATAAAGATTACAGATTAACTTGAGTTGAAGAATGATTAAATTTTAAAAAGAACAAATCTCAATCAAATAAATAAGATCGCTTGTTTGGAAGAAGCAAATCGAATAATAGTAAAAAAAAAATAAGCAAACAAATATCCGGATAAACAAATTAATGATTATGAGTTAATAGTGATAACTTTAAACAAGTAGAATATAATAAAAGAAACATCATAACTATATTCAAGATGATAATAATAATAATGAATGAAATAATCAGTTGACTCCATTGAATAATTTCAGTTTGATGAAAACACAGATGGTGAAATGTTTTATCTCTTCTTCCTTTATTTTTCTCATGAAATTAGTTTAATAGAAGAAACTAATAACAATAATGACAAACATTAATGATCTTCGATTACAAAAACAAATATTATTTAGTCTTGAGATAATCCTAAATGTTTGTTTACTTAGTTATGGGACGAAATGAAAAAATGTTTCATTTGATGGTAGAGAAGATTTGTAGCTAAGGTGGATCATTTTGATGGAGTTTTGTTCTTTTGTCGATGAAAGTTACACGACCAAACCATCTAGCTCTGAGAACAAAACTCCATCAAAATGTTCATTTAATACATATCACTTAAGTGTATCATCTTTTATATTGTACAACTAGATAAAATGTGTTTAAATAATTGTTAGCTCATTAAAACTCTCTTCATAGTCCTGTGATGACTGACCCTATGTCGAGCATACACGGGTTATTCTAGTTTCTGAATAGACCAATCTCTTTATTTTTCCTAAACCATATTTTGACCTTGTCACCTTGACTGCTTTTATGTAAGCGTATACATGTGCTTTTTTTAAAATCTTAATCATCACATATCTGTAACATATTTTTATCGTGTTATAAATATCGATTCATGCTTGATTATATCGAGCTGGCTTACATGCTTTCTTCAGTGGACGTCATTTCGCT